TTCGTTTCGTCGAGATTCGACATAGCTCTATCCCAGATATTGAGCATAGTCAAAAGAAATAACTTAAGATTTATCACGTTTTAAGACAGACAGACACACACACACACACACACACACATATATATATATATATATATATATATATATATATATATATATATATGTGTGTGTGTGTATATATATATATATATATATATATATATATATATATATATATATATATATGATATCTCTCTCTTCTCTATCTCACACTCTCTCTCCATATATATATATATATATATATACAGAGAGAGAGGGGGAAGAGGGAGAGAGAGAGAGAGAAGGCACGGTGGAGTAATGGATAGCAGCTTGGTTTGAGCAATCGGAGAGCCGAGTTCGAATTCCAGTTAAATCCATTACATTCTCTTCTTCTCCCTCTAGCTATGGGTAAATAGCAGGTGAGACTGGGTTCTATAGCCTTGGATGGCAACTGGTCTAGGAGAAGGACAACTCTGAATTCAAAACCTGCGGAGGGTCGTTTGGGGACCTTGTGGCACATAATGAACCAGGTCTCTGTATTTGGCCCTTCAAAAAGTGTGGCTGGTCCAGCACAAAACCTTCACCACTATAATCAAATCTCATGTGTTGGTGTCGGGCTGTCGGTTTCCTAGGAACTGATCTGCTTGACCATCATACGTCGAATTCGACGCGAGTCGAGTATATATATATTGGGATGAAATTATATTGGAAGGGATGAAATGCCTCACACGAAAACTTTTAGAATTTGCTAATTTTTCCAAAACCGTTCGGGTATATATTATTATCCTATATATATTCGGACACGAGTTTTCAAAATTTAGAAAACCATACTCAGACAGAATTTTTAAATTGGTTGAGCTCTCGACCAGAAGCTACCTTTACAAATAAATGTAATTAAACCATTTAGTTCTTCAGTTATCCGGAATTTTGAATTATCAGAACATACTTTTCCAAACACTGTCTCAATGTGTCCGGATAATCGAGTAAGTACAGTATTACTAACAATTGATAGTAACTGAAAGACTATATTATACGCTATACTATACTGTTGGACTATTGTCTTCATCTTTCTTGCCATTTTTATCACAACGTTTCAGCTGCTGTACGCTCCGACCTTCTTCAGGTGTTTGGAATGTCGAACTGAACTCTTTATTTCGCTCGCGAGGGCAGTCTGTTTCATGTTCTGTGTCATGTCTAATGGATATCATCCTGAAGTATCTGTCTATATTTCTCAGATGAGGTATTATGTACACTAAACAAAGGACATCCATTAGACATAGCCCCTGGAACTAGAACAGTCTACCCCAGCGAGCGAAATAAAGGGTTCAGTCCGACATTCCAACCGCCTGAAGAAGGCCGAAGCATACAGCAGCTGAAACGATGTGATAAAAATGGTAAAAAAAATGAGGACAATAGTTCGAATAATATAAATAGTATATATATATATATATATATATATATATATATATATATATATATATATATATATATATATATAATTGAACAGTAAGGTCAACACTCATAAATATAGCACAAGTTTAGATTATGATTTTTTTATATATATATATATATATATATATATATATATATATATATATATATATATATATATATATATATATATAATTGAACAGTAAGGTCAACACTCATAAATATAGCACAAGTTTAGATTATGATTTTATGTTATATATATATATATATATATATATATATATATATATATATATATGTATGTATCATTAAAAATGACAGACAAGGTACTACGGTTAAGCTTTATATTTAATTTTATCCAGACGCCTTACGTTACACCTATCTGATTATAACTCCATTAGAACCGATTTAAACTCACGCACAAACTTACCAGACTCCATTAGAAACATACTAGTAGAAAACACAAACATAATAGCCTCATCGATGATTTAAAATAATGGAAGCTTTAATAATAAAAAGGACAAGCCAACACTTAACAATATTAACTAGGAACAAGGCCACAATAGGCTAACCGTATTCGGAAATAAAAAACATTTCTGCAACACACTAAAACAATACACTTAATGCACACACTCAATTAAGCTGAAAAATCGAATCATCCTTGATAATGGCTATGTTGTCCAGAAAAGAAAGATCTTGTTCGAACACAACAAAAATTAAATAAAAAACTTAACCTTAGTACCTTGTCTGTCGTTTTTAATGAAACATGCATAAATATATATATATGAAGAAAGAAAGAAAGAATATATATATATATATATATATATATATTCGATGTGATCGGATATATATATATATATATATATATATATATATATATATATATAAAAGAAAGAAAAGAAAGAATATATATATATATTCGATGTGATCATATATATATATATATATATATATATATATATATATATATATAGATAGATAGATGGATAAAAGGAAAGAAAAAAAGAACAGTAAGATATATAATCCGGTGTTCTTATAGAGATTTTTATTT